TCCCTTCACCGTAAATGTATAATTTACGAGCTGATGCCCGCGAATTCGTCCGCGTGGTATTAGAAAACATACGAACTATATAAATTACAAAAAGCTACGTATCCCTCGTAAACCGGATATTTTTCGGGGATGAAGCTTATCCCATGTGTACTCCAGACCTCGTTTTATATCTGTGCCAAATTTCAATAAGATATGTTGAACCGTTGCAGAATGAACGAGTAAACATTAAAAAACTAAATTAATGAATCCCACAGGAACCGTAACTATTCCCGGGATAAAAAGTAGCCTATGTGTTCTTCCAGACTTTCCGTTCAGCCGTTTAGGCTATAAAGGCTAACAAACATCCATCCATCTAAACTTTCGCATTTATAATATTAGTAAGAAGTAAAATTAAAATAATAACGAAATAACAAGTGATAACTGAATTCTGTTTTACAAAAACTCTGTATGGTTTGTTTCAAAAATACTTAAGATTATAAAGAAATTTTTAGAACAATCATAAAATATCTTTGCAATATATAATAAATAACAATTGTATGTAAAACAATAGTTTTCATTGAAAAGATTTCCTCAGGCATATGTCATTCAAGTATTGTTCATGTATATTCCCGGAAGTTATAACATAAGTGACAAATGAAAAGCACATAATATGCTTATGTATGTAAATATAATATTGTGTAATAAACCATTCATACACGGAAATTTCTTGTATTTTATTGCGTTTTACATAACAAATACCTAAAAGAGTTTTATGAAAAAAGTGGTTATTGTGTGACAACCTTAACAGATAGATATATAGTACCTTAGACTTTTATTTAGCAAATTTAAAGGGCTACAATTCTTCTTTACAACATTTTTATGTAACTCTTATAGTTTAGGCTACGTAAGCAAAGAAAGCAAAAAAGACCGCAAATTTCGTCGCGCAATTTTGAGCTAAACTATTTAACTACGTTGTAGTCTTAGGCTCCAAAAATCAAACAAAAAAATGGGACCCACCTGCAAGCATTACCTTTCGGATAAAAAAAGAATTATCAAAATCGGTCCACTAGCGGCGGAGTTATGCCGTAACACAAAAAAAAAACATACAGACGACTTGAGTACCTCCTTTTTGGAAGTCGGTCAAAAAAGAGAAATAAACGTTAAGTACATAACGTTCATATTTTAAAAATACTAGATTACTTTAAATTCGAAATCCATCGTCATAATAATCTATAATAAAGCGTAAACACACTTCTTTGTTGCCTAAGATGTCAGCAATCACAGCATATTTTTGAATAATTCTTTTTTTAATAAAAAGCCTTACACTTACGTCACACTTTAGGCTATATATTTTCACGCCATTAAACTAAGGGGGTAAATATTTTGGAAAAAACCTTAATGTGGCAAAGAGACCATAAGTTGCTGCCAACATCAAGGAAGCAAGATTGCCATACATAGTATGGTAATTGGTATTTTGACATTTGCTATTGAGAATTTGACAAATGTAAACAATAAATTTATAATTTCATGCGGATGAAGCCGCACGCGAACAGCTAGTATTTAATAAACACACAGACTATAAAACTAAAGTATTATTAAAATATAAAAATGATTTATTACTATTTAAAAACGTTAGAATTAATTAATTGCAATGACATTGAACGTTAATGACTTTATATACGAATATATTTTTAACCATATTTAGAACTAGCTGTTGCCTGTGACTTCGTCCACGCAATCTACACTAATATTGTATGAGAGAAAAGATTTGCATTTTTCTATGTATTAAAATAACTCAAAAACTTCTGGGCCGATTTTAAAAATACTTTCACCGTTAAAAAGGTAATTTATAGAGTAACATAGGCTATTTTTTTCCCGCGGACGATATCGCGACAGCTAGTATTAAGTTAAAAACTAGCTTATAACATGCCAGTGTACGTAAGCTACCCTTCAGTTAAAGTCCGGTCGAAATTATATAAATTACATAAAGAATACGGTAAAAGATTATCTGTCGCGAGTTCCAGTCTATTTTAGATTTCACACTATCTGATTACAACTTAGATTGCAAGACTATAAGCGTCATAAGCATTTACATAAAAATAGTATTACATGATTTGTACCGGAAGTACTTATCTAGTCTTATTATAAACTAGTTTTTCCCGCGACGTTGCATTTAATTTAAAATATTTTCATCACTGTTTGTGTGTTTATCCCATTGTAGTATTCATAATTGTATCAACAGTGTTTTGAAAAATCTGAAGGCCTATCACGAATGTTTGTGAAAACGTTTTCGTATCGAAATCGAAATTTGTACAACATTTTTGTAGACCTTTCCTGATCGTAACGTACATCATCAAATGCCATACTTATAGTTGACGTTAAGAATATGATCCCGCAACCTTCAAGCAAGTATTCGTGATAGGGGTTCTTTGTGGCAGGGTTGAGAATGTGATTCTTAGCCAGAGCCCTACTATAATCTGCGTTAATCATTTTTTTTAAATTACCTATTTCTTTTACTTTTAATAAGCGGATATAATTATTGTTATCTTAAAGCATGACTAACGTATAATCGTCACCAATAGAACACGCTCTCCGGTCACGTATAGTTTCGTTATCGTTTAGTTAAACTGAGTTTAATGTTAAGTATCAAGAAAATTAACTGCCGCACTCAGAGTTAAGCGATGAGCACTAAATGTCCATTTTAAAAGTTTTATTAAATGCCAGGTAAGATCTCGAATCAAATGATATCTTGTTTTAAAATCTTTTAAGCAATCTTGATGAGATACTGACATGCGACACCCTGTATATCTGTATGGTGGCCCATCTCAATAGCACGCGTCTCTCACGGACTTTCATGCAACAGATATTTACAATACTCGATATGTTTTGAGATAAGTTTCAGATTTCAGTTTCGAATTCATGAATAATCAAATCAAGTAGAGGAAAGAATGTATGTATTGTATGAAAGAGGATATGTTTAAGGGAGTGAATTCAGATATGACGGTCGATAGAGATGTATAGAAGGATACTACGTAGGGGTACTGCTTAGAGCGCGCGCACACCTTTGACAAAACCATCGCACAATTTAGTCGCGCCTTGATTCTTGTTAGCTTACATGGTGCGCACCTCTACCCAATTTTTAGTTGTGCAACTAAACAGTTGAATTGGCTATGAAACAATCGACAATCGCACAATAGTTTGATAGAAAGAGATGCATCTAGATGTCATTTGTTCTAATATTATAAAGCCCGTCGTATACAAGGCGAGATAAATTTTCGAAACCTCTCGATTGTAATGGGTAATAACGCAATCTTACTTCTTACTAACATTATAAACGTTAAAGTTTAAATGGATGTTTGTTAGCGTTTGTAGCATAAACGGCTGAACGGATTTTGATGAAATTTGGTATAGATGTAGAGGATAGTCTGGAAGAGCACATAGACTATTCAAGTTTGTTTTTTTAATACCACGCGGACGGATTCGCGGGAGGATAGCTAGTATTTCATAAGTCATCGCCATAATATGGGTATTTTTGTATTTAACATTTTTTTGTAGTGAAATTAACCTGATTCATATATAAGCTACAACATAACTTTTTATTTATTATTTTAAACTAAAAATGAGTTAAATCACTTTTTTCTGCGTAAACCTGACTTAAGTATACCCCCGTATGACGTCACGTGGCGTCACGTGCGATCTTACGTGAAAAACAAATGAGCGTTTTTGATTTATAATTTAAATCCAGTTCAAACTGAATCATGTGACTTAGGTTTTTGTGTGATGCAGTTTCTTGTTTATTTTTGATGAAGTTACGGTAATAAAAATTAACCATGTTATTTCTACCTAACGAAATTAAGCATTTTAATTATTTAATGACGTTGTCTATTTTCTTAAATATTTCTTTCGTAAGAACATTATTAGATACATTGCCCTTCTGTCAGTCGGGCAAAAAATAATTTGTAAATTAATATTAATGCAGTTTTAACTTTCACATTTGAAATTATTTTCGTATTGCATTTTAATCGAAACCTGTTGTTTTCTACAGAAAAAATGACATTATGCAAAACGACAAATTATTAATTAGGTTAGCGACAATTATATATCTATACTATTATAATAAAGCGTAAACACACACTTCTTTGTTGCCTAAGATGTCAGCAATTACACCATATTTTTGAATAATCTTTTTAATAAAAAGCCCAACACTTACATCACGCTTCAGGCTATTAATTTTCACGCTATTAAACTAAAGGGGGTAAATATTTTGGTTAAAAACCTTAATATGGGAAAGACACTATAAGTTGCTGCCAACATTAAGGAAGCAAGGTTGTCATCATGTCATGTCATTTTGACATTTGTAATTGATAATTTGACAAATGTGAACAATGAAATAAAATGTTCATAATTTTATGCGGATGAAGTCGCATGCGAACAGCTAGTAAGGTATAATAAATAGATAGCCTTAAAACATTTTAATCAAATATATACAAATTTACGATATAAATAAATAATCCAGGGGTGGTAAGCGAATTGCACGCAATACAATATTTTGACACATCATTGTTCAGCTGTAAACATTATTTTAAGTAATCCGAGAAAAAATGTAATGTACTAGCTTTCGCTTGCGACTTCTTCCGCGTGAATTAAAAATAACAAAAGAGAGTATGTGTTCTTCCAGACTATCCTCTACGTATGCCAAATTTAACTGAGATCCGTCTAGTCGTTTAGGCTACAAACTTCAGCAAACATCCATCTAAACTTTCGCATTTATAATATTAGTTAGATTGTATATGAGGTGCGAACTCGGAGTCACCCTATACATTTATGTAATAAATAATCACCAAGTCAAAATTATTTGATGCCACGAGCAAGCAAGAAAAAGTTATTCAGCCCATTTTGCTCCTCAGAAAAATGTACAACACACTTTCAGGCGTTATTAGATCTCTGAAAAGTAAGTTTCATGCATATAAAGCACAAAGATCACAGATTTTGTTGACAACGCAAACATAATTATAAATATAAAGGTGAGGCTACACTAGCGGTGCAGTTCGTGTCAGTCATTCAGACGCGCTGGTTGTTCGCGGACAGACGTGTGTTTTGTGTACGAGTGTACGCGGGCCAAAGTTTACGTCTATTTTTGTATCGTTTGCGGAACATTTTGTGAGTATTTTTGTTGTTTTGTTTATCATAGAATTATTTGTTGAATTTAATAATTTGTTTTTAATTTTGGTAAATAAAAATTGTATTTTGAAAAACGTAAATTGGATTTTTGAACTTCGACTGCATAAAATTAATTTTCAGACAGAATTTCGAATCGATTATAATTTTGCAATTTATGTTTACAAGGCTATAATTAACTTGTAAATGACCATTTAATTATTTCATAATATTTATTGCGAACATATTAAGATAATGCAGGATTTATTTTTTTCAAATAATTAGTCTTTTTATATTAAATACCTTAAAGCCTATATTGAAACCATTCTACGACCCTTTAAAAGCTGTTTTAATGTTCAGTATTAATTGAATAATGATTTTAAAGTTAAAAAAAATGTTTCTGTAATTTAAAGGTTTTTCATGCAAGAAAAACCTTTTATTGTATTAAAATAAAACAATGGTTCTTGCTTTTAACAGCGGAGTTTTCAAACTGAAAAGAACCAGTTGCCTTTTTTCATTCGTCGTTTTTTAAGTCGCTTGTCTAAATCATTTCTGCTCGGGTTTTTTAGTTTATTTTTAGCATCCTTTATTCCTTTTTTGAATAAGAATTACACAATCTTTAAGATCTTTTCGCATGCGTTGAATATGAAATAAGTTTTTACTTGTTGATTGCTTCTTTGATTGTTTTTTATTTATATTCACGACGGTGACTCATGAGTGTAGATATGTTTGCAATTTAAATGGAAATTTGGATGATCCCTATTTTTTGTAATCTTACTAATATAAATGCGAAAGTTTAGATGGATAGATGGGTTTGTTAGAGTTTTTAGCCTAAACTGGTATATATGTAGAGGATAGTCTGGAAGAACACATAGACTACTCACTTATTTTTTCAATTCCACGAGGAAGGAGTCGCGGGCGAAAGCTAGTATTACAAAATTAAAAGCTTCCTAGTATGTCAGTTTTGGAATAGGTTAGTAATAAACACAATCAAAGAATGTTAAAATGGAGATATTTTTCTTCTGAGGTAACCCCTAAAATTATTGTATTTGTCCAATAGCATTTGTTTTATGGGTCAATGAACTGGATATGTTACGGAGAAAATAAAATAAAATTGAATATTATAATTAAACATTACGTTTTGACATGAATATTATTATTTCAGTGAAATAAAAAAACTGCTAGTATTTAAAATAAATGACTGTAAAATAACACTGATAAAAATAATTAAAAATGAAACAGCATGAAAAATGAATAGAAACAAGGTTGATTTGCCTTTTTTTATAAAAAAAAATATTTTCCATTTATCTATTTTTCTATGTTATTTTTTGTTCGCTTTCCAAAGAAAATGTTTCATTTGTAACGTCAATTATTATGAAGGTGAAATGTTTTTTTACAGCAATAATTAAATACATTTTTATTCAATTTTATAACCTTTAAAAATGTTTTTCGAACGAAAGTCAAATTAGTCATTTCTGTATTTAATAACATCACTAGTCGCTTGGAATTTGAAATATTTCAGTAAAAAATGTAACAGATTTTTTAATGTTAATACACTTTTTTTAAAGGTTAGCGTGGTGGCATGTTATGAGGAGGGATGAATCGCATGTAACAAGACGGACGTTAGTTATGAGTGTGGTACATCGGTAGAGGTAGACAGAAAGAGATGGATAGGTTGCGTGAAAGATGACATGATAAAGAAGAGAGTGATGACTGAGATGACGGATGATAGGCCGACCCTACGGGAGTAGGATAAGGCAGGGGAGATGATGATGACTTTGATTGCTTCATTTGTTAATAAATAGTTAGGTAAATAATAATAGTTAAATAGTGTATTATTAATTAGAGAGTCGATGACTCCGTGGTTAAGCACTTGACTTGTAATCTACAGGTCCTGGGTTCGAATCTGTCATGTATCAATGTGTATATCGATTTCATACGTAAATTACAATAACATGCCTAACAAACTAAAAGAGATATGTGTGAAGTCAATTCCCAGTGGGCTAGGGTGGTTGACTAAAGCCTCATACCTTAACTAAGGGTAGTCTCCGTGCCCTCAATAGGGATGTAGTACCCTTAATAGTCATCCAACTGTCTTTGAAACAAATAATACGATAGTCAAGTTGCAATATGCGTAGTAAAGATTCCTTAATAATTTTAAAATTAAAAACGAATAAAAAAAATTATTAACATATACGGTTATGCAGATGTTACATGATATTTACGATGGCGATGCTGCGGTGAGGCTCGCGGCTTCCACTTTATAAATACAAACTCGTTGCATCCACAAACATGTTCCAGACAGCGGCTCTCAAACTTAAAGCACTTAAGATGGCACGTAATGGAGAAGAGTTCTCTTGTTATCGACGTGCCAAATCAAAGCCATGTGTATTATATTGTCCATAGTCATAATATTTAGCATGTATGACCTCTAATCTACGCCTTCAAGGTCACCGTTACTTTAATTATTTTTTTCTGGATTACAGTATTTCTGATTAGTAGAGAAATTTCGGCGTTAGCATTTCATTGTCCTCGACTCTGTCTATTAGGGATATTTTTACGATTAGTCGGTTTAAATTACTTAGTTCTAAATAATATTACAGTTTGAGTACCTCTGTCGTATCCCTTTTTGCGATTCCTGTCTTCGCTTCTTGTTTTACTTGTTGATATATCGAACACGTACTTGTCATTCATACTTCTTTGTAAATATGCGGTTTTTTATTACTTTTAAAATAATACGCAGTTTAAATTACGACTCACATATATTAAAAGAATGTTATTCAATTATGTCGCAAGATATAGATAAAATAAATGAATAAAGAAAGGAAATAAGCTATTATTATAGTGTATCGGCATTTCTCTTTTTTGTATTATAGTTTTTATGAAATAGATGAATTAAGTTTTATTTATAACAAACAATAGAAAATGAGTTTACAACATAGTTTTCCAATGATGTTTTTTTTTTTCGTTTTTTACACTTTCAATGACAGTATATCCAATAGCAATCTATCTTTATTTAAAAGAGTAATCTAATTAACTGATTATTTAGACAATTACAGGATAAATTTGAAGAAAAGTCTGAAACACTTACTTATACTAAAAATCATTTATCTGAATTTACAAGTAATTCTGCCCAAGGAATAACAGTGTTATATAAAAACTTTCAACATTTTAGGAGATAAATACTGAAAATTTCTCCCTTTGTGTTTACTTTTGTAGTAACAGAAACTTAGTAACTAAATTTCAAGCCTAGACCCAGTACTTACGACTAAGAGAAATATCGAAAAACATATTTTTAATCGATCTAAAATCAATAACATAGAAAAAAAGAATTTTCAAAATTTTTGTAGCTAAATTCGTTATAGCAGTATTGAGTAAATATTTTCAACGAAATATTTCATTGCTCGAAACCCTAACCTTTCGTTAATTCTGTGACAAATATCCTCTTATCCCTCGCTCCTGGGAAATATGAGTCATAACAATATCTGTACTCATGACTATTATTAAACAGATCACCTCAATAGTAGTATTGTTTTGCTTCTTACGTAATATGATATTGCAAGGAAATGTACTAATATTGCCTACCTCATAGCGTAGGGAAATATATGAATTGAAGTATTATTTTATATCTATTAATTTTCACATAATACTAATCATACTAATATTATAAATGTGAAAATTTGGATGGATGGATAGATAGATGGATGGATGTTTGTTAGAGTTTGTAGCCTAAACGGCTGAACGGATCTGGATGAAATTTGGCATTGATGTAGAGGATATTCTGGAAGAACACATAGGCTACTTTCTTTTGTTTTTATTATTATAATATCACGGAACGGAACGGAGTCGCGGGCAGAAGCTAGTATTATATATGCGAAAGTTTATATGGATGTTTGTTAGTGTTTTTAGCCTAAACTGTTCAACGGATCTCGATGAAATTTGGCGTAGATGTACAAGATAGTCTGGAAGAACACATATGTTACTTCCATTTTTTTTAATTCAACGCGGACGGAGTCGCGGACGAATGCTGGTTAATTTATAATTACGTTTAATTTTCAATACTACGTTTTACGCAGGGCGAGTCGGTAACGATAGATAAGTGATTCCTACGCTATAGTGTGTTGGATTGTCTGTTTTCTGTGTCACTTACTTAAAACTGTGCTTCTGTAGCAAAATTTTAACTCAGTTGTACTGTACAGTTGAAGTTTTGAATTCGAAATGTTCAGTTAAAACTGAGCATATGAAATGAGGTTAGCATTTATTTGTTTGTTGGTATTTACTTCTAAAGATATTTTTAACATTCGAAATGTTCCTAATTATCCGAGCAGTCGAAATATTCTTTTAAAGGTAGCCGACTTAAGACAGTTTTCAATAAAATGACTTTCTGTTCAGTGTAGTGCAATGATTGTACATTTGTGACTGAATTTGTCAGACTTTTGGCAGCGTGGCCAAATTCAGATCACTCGCAACGCACGTGTTAGTTATATTTTTGTTTTGGTATAACTTTCTGCTTCGACAGTCATTGGATCGATGTCAAAATGGTATTTTGTTTGTTAGGTAAATTTTGTTTGATGTGTCAAAAATATGCTCTGGGTTTTGACTTCCGCGGATAATTAAAATCTTTGTGTCAACTAATTTGTATTGTTTTGTTTTATCGTATTATTTATAACAAAAGATAACATTTTAAATATATCTGTTTTTTATTGAGCCAATCATATATATCAATATTTCAACTTTTAAACAATAATATAAGTGTAGAGTAGAGAATTAATTGTAACACTTATAGTATTGGTGACCGCCAGATGGCGCGTTTTTCAATACTTCAGATTGACATTGACAGATGTCATAGGAACGGGATATGTACGGCAGTGATTTACTACAATTGTGCAATTTCTACTTAAGACTACGTTACAAAAAACGGAATAAAGAATCTCGATTAATTTTTATAATACAGAAGAATAGATAGATAGGTTATTTGCAATGTTTTTTAATTTCACTCGGAC